CGTATGAATAGAATGTGACAATATTAGAATAATAATGGTTTGTATTTTATATCTATCGATTGTTCAGCATGCATTTTGATATCAATGATATCAGAGATCAAATGTTGAGGATAGATATGTAGGAAATTTTTACACATGTGTTTGGATTTTTTTACCTTAGCTTTATTTTTTATTCTTTATTTTATTTATAATCGAAAATTATTTTAAAGGTGATTGTAAGGTGCGCAGTTACGGGTGTTTTCGTTTAAATATGTGTCAATGTACAATATCAGGATAACGAGCGAAAACTAAAATTAGTAACGTGTCTCTGAACGACTTCCATTTCAGCAATTTCTGTCATTGCAAATTTAATATATGGTTACGGCGATAATGTATGGCGAAGTGTAATTACACTTTGCAATAGGAAATATTAACATTTGCGGAACTGTATGTGAATACTATCGAAATGCGATACAATAATTATTTGAATTGTTTTCACAATATTCCAATATATACGGTCTTATTTAAAACTGAATTGATGCATCGCATTGTTCAGATAGAGATTGGCATCGTCTAAAAGAGAGAACTTACGTGTACATGTAAGACTCTAACTATAGATTCGTTCTTTTAATATTTCAAGAAGAGTCAACAAGAATGTTCAAATTTATGATTCACGCCGATAGGTATTGGATAACATTAAAATATATATAAGGTATCAGAGAGACACACTAGATCGATATCATACGATCTAATTGACGATTAAAATCGTCGGAAATATTATTAGTAGTTGATGGAATTTTCAAGATTTTTCGGGAGTTTACAGAATATAGTATACCAAAATTCTAAACAATCTAAATTTCACAATCTCATATAAGTGGAATGCTGATTGCAATCAGCTGTAACGTCTGTGTAATTCGCTTTCTTTTGTTTTTTATTATTATCTTCTTTTTACTGGAAGGGATCGCTGGGGGGAATTTCACTGATAATCTATTAAAAATCGTCGTTCACTTTTTCACAAATTACTTGCGTCTCGTTCCTCGTCTTATCTACTATCACTTAATACTACTGTTGAAAATCGTCAGTCTCTCGCGAGGCCGACTACGTGATATCGTAAATATATGAAATACACAATTTTTTTTCTTTTTACATATTAAAATATTGCTTTATACGTTTCGTAGATGCCACAAGGCTGCGTACGTGTGACGTATAATGCGAGCATATATGCTGCGGAACAAATTATTGCACTCATAATTTGGGCTTGGCACCGGACACGATCATAAAATATCAATTCATATTCGTATCTCTAGAATTGAAAATATGTTTGATCGGAATTCGATGTTCCGATCGGGATCAAGATTACTTTCGAGTACCAAATCACGTACACATAATTTGACACTAATAAGAAATATTCAAAACTCGTTACGCGATCATTGGTGCCTAGTCGATTTAATTCTTAATATCTGAAAGCAATAAATATATTCTTCGTATTTTACTTTGTATAAAGGCCTCGTAAACGTTATATGTATGTATTTCTATGACAATATACATTATAAGAGAAATCTTTGGAATATAGAATTTTTCTGTGATTTCGACAATACCTAAAATATCGTAGTGCTTTTGTAACTATTTACACAAATTATCTGTTTCTGTTGACATTGATTTCCAACGGAATGCATAGTGAAGTTTCGATTCTGTTAAGTAATATATACAATGCTTAAAACTTTCCGGAAGCAATAAATATCCTTTACTCTCATAATATTTAATTGTGTTTCACTAAATTTATGACTGTCTTTTTTTTTCGTTTATTATTATATCGCTAATGAAGACGTATTGCTTTTTCTTTTTTGATAAAAAAATTTGATAAAACAATTGTTTAATCTAGGCACAATTAAATAATGTAAAAACAATTACATATTACAATTAAAAAAGATGAATATGCATGCACATACGCACGCATGTACGTACGTACACACTATGGTAACGGAGGTAGTAGTCTATTTATAGCTCGCACAAAATTGATAAAGAGGCAAATTTTGTGATCACAGAAAAGCTATAAACATATGTTTAATTTTAGACATGTATTTCAAACAAATTACGTGCATTCGAAACGAAAAAACTTGTTATTGAATTATCCAATTATCTTTAATTTCTTAGCCGTTGATCTCTTACATACTTTCTTATTGATTTTACTTATTACAAAATGCGCATACCTTCACCGAAGAAATAATTAAAAATTTCTCAATAACGAGAGAACGAACGAAATAAATGAAGCTGGAGCAAATTCTTTCCTCTAAATTGGAGTTACGACTTATCATCGCATATTCTGTTTTGCAGTTGCTATATAATTAAGCAAAATGCAAATTTACATTAATTTAATTTAAAATTTAACTAAAATTTATCAATTTTAAACGTGATTCGCGAAGTTCCTATTTAAGGAAGGACACGTTACACGATGACGATTACACAAAGATCGAGGATGTCGGGGTGCAGTGATTAATTTACAATACCTTTGGCGTTATCCAGTGAAAATGGGGGCAGGATAACTTGTCAGCTGTACAATCTAACTTGAGAATACAACTTACTCAGCAAAGGAATAGCGGCTACGAGCATGCATAGAGTTCATACAATTTTTCTGTACACGCAAACGAGAGGACACCAAACGTGCCGATTTCGAACCTATGTATACGTTAATAGTTGATATCCTGAGATTCGAAATTATACTTAGTTGTTGCGCCATGTCAATATTTCATTGGATTACTCATCGATAATAATTCATGACTCATAACAAATCTTCCGCCGGCTTTTTATATTACCGCAAGCGGATATATATGCTCTCCTCTTCTTTAATTTGTACATATTATTATATCGTAATATCACTCTACGATATTGTAGATATTAAAACTATGCTCACTCTCGAAATAATTTCTTTTGCGCAATGTTTAAGAAATTAGAAGTGACCTGGTAATCTTCGCAAATTTCGTAAATTTAGCGAAGCATCGTCTATTGATAATTATGCAGAATCGAAATCCATTGACGCGGTTTGCCACAATTTACTTTATATAACATTCTTTCTCGCTCGCTATTAATTGTCGCGGGAAGAATCGATGATCCCGCAGAAATATTTCGACAAACTTATATCTATGTAATACACCACAGCCGGCTCGAGCGATTGATGCAGTATTTTTTGTTGTATATTAATACTACTGCAAAATTAAAGACTGTCTGTGGCAATTTTCGCTGCGTTGCAATTCCTTTGCAATATCGCGAATCCAGCAACTGAGTATCGCGGACAATAATTGTATGACTGTGGCTTGTTTTTTCGATAAATATTTACACACTATTTATCGCATTAAAATCCGTGTCAGCAGATTCCTCCGTAGATTCGTTTCTACACAACTTTCGATACAAACTGATCAAAGGCATCACTAATAACAATACGCCGCTCAGTGCAATGAAAAATCCAGCTAAATAGAAGGACAAGTCGTATGTGCCTGTGATATCGTACAGCCATCCTGAAAGAAAACAGTTTATTCTTAAAATTTGTTCGGTGTATTTTTGCATCTAAAAAAAGCAATATAAAAAATTTATAATTTCATAAAATTTAAGAATAACTAAGTAAAGTGTACGTATGCGAAAAAATTATGCAATATTGTAATATCATGTTTTACGGTTGCTTCACATTAATTTGCTGCGTATAAAAATATTTTGTCATGGAATTTCGCTATTTACCGGCTAGCGGAGGACCTCCGAGGTTAGCGATTCCTTGAACCAGCAACAAAAGACCATAAGCATTCGTAAACCTCTCTAAGGTGATCAGCTCGACAAGAATGATGCTGGTGAGACTGTAATTCGCCGCGATGAATAATCCAAAGGCACCGGAGATTGCACACAGGGCATAGTAATCGTGGACAACTACGGGTATCATAGCGGTGACGGCGCCGCAGAGCGCCATGCACACCGCGTAGACAATGGATGCATTCACCCACGCTCTATCACCGGCCCATCCTAGAAAAATCTGTAAAAAATTCCATCTTGATTGCTGCAGTAATTGAGAAATAAAAAATTTATTGAGATAATCGCTTTCGTTAATATTACCTCGCCACCCATGTTAGCGATCCCAATCACCGAGATTAAGATGGACGCGTCTGTCTCGCTGAATCCGACCTCGATTGCGTTGTCCGTCAGATAGACATAAGGCACGTCGTACCACGTGTGCAATAGAAAGTTGCTGATGGCAAACAGCAGGAACCTCATATCGGCGAAGTATGAGAAATCCAGCATATCGACGATCAGATCCCACAATTCCCAGAGTCCGGCGTACCAGACGAGTTTCGTCTTAGCGATAGTAGTCATCGAGTTTCTATAGATGTCCGGACAGCTCGACGCTCTCAAACGGTACCGATTGATGTTTAGCATGGCGCCTCTGTAAGTCAGACTGTGCCTATGCATTCTGATGTCCTTGAGATAGGCAGTGGGTAGCCTTCTCGGTTGTTCCATCGCGCTGGATCGCCTTAACAGAGCATCGGGATCAATTTTCTTCAGCCACCATAAGTACGCCGGTTCTATCGACTGTTGCTCTTGATCGCTGTAAGTGGCTCGTTCAACGCTACCTTCGCACTGATCCTTGCTCTTGTCGTCTTCGGCTCTTAGCTCAGCTAATGGGCTCGGCGTAGGTATAAATCGAGCTGACGGTGTGCTTAATTGATCGTGCAATGCACCAGAATCACTAAAGCTCCTCGACGATATCAGAAGATTCGGATAGTTTTGTAGGAGAACATTATATACGGTCTTGTTTGCACTGAGCAATTCCAGAACTTCCAGAGGTACCTTTTCTCCATTTTTAACAAAGGTAGGTAAACTGACCAGGCTGGAGAACAACTTCTCACTGTTCTCTTCGCCATTGCTGTCTTGCAGTCGTAGATTCTCGATAATCATTGCATTGGCCGACGCAAAACCTCTTTTGGTATCACCATGAGGTGTTTGCGTGTTTGTGTTCGCGGAGCTGGTCGCGGAGAAGGAATCCGCACTGGAACTCTGCATCTTAGATCTTTTTTTCTCCCGAATCTTTCGTCTTTCTTGAGTTTTCGCCTTCGCTATCGTAGTAGTCCACTCGAGGTCCCGCATGAGACATCCGCATACAGCGAGATTCAGAAATAATCCCGCCAGAATCAGCGTGGTTCCCCGCCAACCATATTCTGCCAAAAGATATTGCGTGACAGGCGCGAAGATGAAGGTACCGATTCCGCTGCCACATACGGACAAACCGGTGGCAAAGGATCTCTTCTTGTCGAAGTAGTACGCCACAATCACCACCGCCGCGACGAAGCACAGGGACAAACCGAAGCCGGCCACGATACCGAACGTGAAGATGAGCACCTCCATTGAGTTCGCGTAAGAACTCACAACAAAACCGGCCGTCGCCAATAAGCTACCGGCCATCGTCACTTTTCTACATCCGTATCTGTCGGTTAAGAAACTCGCCACCGGTCCCGATAATAACGGCATCGCCATGAAGAGACTGCCGATCCACGCCGTCTTCGATTTACCTTCGCCGAAATAATTCAGAAATTCAACGTATATCACACCGAAAGAGAAAGTGATACCGTCTGCGATCAGATTGACCATGAAGGAGGCCGCCACGACAACCCAGCCCCAGCCTCCGTCGGGCGGTCTCGCTTCACAAAATTGTCCCAAGCTGGAATTATCATCGGAACTACTCGTAGTAGACGTGGAGATCGATGGACTCGGATGCGGTCTTCCTCGGACGTGTGACGT